TTTTTTTTTTTCCTCCTTGAATGGGAATGAGTTGTTTCATTAGAGGAAGCGTAGCTTGTTTTGGTGTGTGTCTCTCTCCCATGGATGGCAATAGGAAAGAATCTGTACTTCAAGTTATGTGCTTCAGAGAAGGAGTAGAAAATGGACTCTCCCCTTCACCCCCTGCTGTTCAAGAGCCCAATTTTACCGTTCAGCTTTTTTCTCTTTATGATTGGTCATGTTGCACTACATGTAACTGGTGTTCAGAATTACGTTGCTGATGTGGCATTGCTATAGCTGCTGCAAAATTTCTTGTGATTCCCACGGACTCTGGGTGGCTACTGCTCCTCCTCTTTTGACATGGGAAGGGTCAAAGCCAGCCAGGTTAATCATTCTGATATGTTTTAGCCAAATACTTGGAATTCTTGCGTTAAAAGAACATACTTGTGTTTTCACACCTGCTGATTTTCTTCATTTGTGAAAGGTCTTAAGCATTCAACAATAATCTGAAAACTGCAAAGAAAGTTGAAAAATATTCTTCATGCTTGACAATGTTGATATACTTCAGTGTTGCCAACTAAGAGTGCAGTTAGGGTTGCTCTGAATATTGAGAACTATATAATGCATCTTGTGTACAATTCCAAGAACTTTTGATTGTATAAAAACAAAAACTTGGGTTTGTTTTTTTTAAAGCCATTAAAATGGAGTTGCTGCTAATATGCTATATCCATAATTATGGTGCTACAAAAAGTTTATCATGACTGTTCTCTCTGGCTTTCAAATTTATTCAGGTAGGCGGGATAAACGTGTATCAGAATGTATCTAATACTGTCTTGCTAGGGAACCAGAAGGGGAAAGCATTGGTGACACTTACTGTTTTTTTTTTTTTTTTTTTTTTTTTTTCGCAGGCGGGCTGCTGCGGGCAGCCCGCGGGGTCCGGCCGGGATCGCGCCTCAGGCGTGGGCGCGCCTGGAGTGCCACTTCCAGGCTGAATGCACAAAAGGGGGTTTTTATATTTGGAAATACTGGAATACTAACTCTTCCTAGCTTTTCTGGGAGAATTTTTTGGGGCTTTCCAGATATGAGTTTGGGACTTTTTTGAAAGAATGGGGTATTACCAGTAATACACGCTCCCGTTCATTTGAAGTGCTGGTCCTATGGAGCACTATCAATTCTGCTTCTGTTGAAGTTACCTAAATTTAAGAAAAATCCTTTCAATTCTCAGTCCAAAGCTCCTGAGACATTTTTGTGGCATTTGTCTCACGAGTTCCAGAGAACTCATTTAGGAATGGCTGAATAGGTTTCATCGCGATCTTGCGATGGCTCAAGGGACTTGATGAGCGTGCAACATCTCTTTCAGAATTGTCTGCTTTGATTCCGTAATTTCCTCATTTAAAAAAGATTCACAATCTGTACAATACAGAGAAAGTAAAAATAGAAGAAGTGACTTTGCAGTTTTCACCTATGATCTTCACTCGTTGCCAGACAAACCAAGTTTTTAGTGATGGAATCTGTCAGACTGATTTCAGTTTAGAAGATTGTTATCTGTGTCTTTTGAAGCATGTTTTTTTGAAGGAGTATATCCAAGTTGTTTGTATCACTGTTACTTGGAAACAAGCATTACAATTCTTTTTTTGCACTGGAATCGAGAGGTGCAATGGTATATTGGAAAAATGTCTTGTAGTTGAGTTCTTGCGTTTTTCTGTAAAGTTCTTTTAAAATATTAAATCTCAGTCCTACAGATTGATAATTCGCTTGGCATAGATACAGTTAGCATAGAGATTTACAAAGGCAAAGCTCTGTGGAGTTCAGGTATCCACTTGGAGCTTGAAGATAACAGTAGATTTCCCTGACGTAGTTTTTATATGTACTACATGTAGGATCCATTTAGGATCCATCTGGCGCCTCAGGCTAGATTTTTTGAGATATTAATAGACCTCTGTTGATCAGTATATGAAAAGGTTAGAAAATCTGATTTTCAGGCCATCAAATTTCCCATTAAGATTTGGCAGGCGGCTTGCCACAAGGAGAATTTTGGAATTCAGCTTGTACTGGTAAAAATTATCCAGTCCTGTTTCTAGCACAGAGATGTACATAACAGCATGTTCACAAGTAATCTATCAGAAAAAAAGGCTTTGGTAGTCAGGAAAAGTGGTATGCATTCTGCTTTGAAGCAGCAGCGTGCGGTGGGAGTCAGCTGGGATGGGCTGTGAGGGACCATGTTTCTCTGAACGGCAGATGAGCACATGGTGTGACTGTGGTTCTTGCATCACGGAGGCTGGGTGGCTCAGTAAAGATTACGGTCCAGTTTCATTGCTTTCTTCTTAGTTATTCAAGATTTCTCTCTGAGGCTGGGTTTTACTAGTGACACCCAAGTCCAGAGATGCCCATCTCTGAGTGCTGGACTGGCTGTACCCCATGCTCCCATCCTTGCTGGAGAGGATGGAAAGTAGCAGCTAGGGTGAGGGCATCCCTTCTGCCTTTCCTGGCTGCAAGCCCACGGTTACTCTGTATGGAGTTGTTGTTCTTACTGAGTAGCAAAGATGGGTAGAAACAGCTCATACTGGTCCAGGAACCTGCTGTGATCTTTGCTAATCCTCCAACCTAAATTTCTAGCTCTGTTTTTTTTTTCCAAAATCTTCACTTTAAGCATCATCCTAGGCAGTCTAGCTGTGGGCTAGAGTCCAATTATGAGCTTCCTAATCCTGATATTGTCTTGCACCCAGTCTCCTTCATTCCCAGCATCAAGCCAGTCACCTGCAGCCTCCGGTTACCCTGTTAGTCCCTTCAGGCTCTTATGATATTTTGGTCTTTCCTCTCTGCCCATCCTCACAGAACTCATATTTTCCTGGATGTCATACAAGGACAGAAGACCAGGGGTCCGAGCAAAGCAAGATGGTCCACTGAAGGGAGAAACAAAGTGAGGGGCAGTGAGATTTGCTCCAAAAGATTGCAAAAATCTTGGAGAGAAGGGTGTGTTGCCGCCTTCTCTCGTGTTACGGCCACTAGTATGTATCTGTACATTTGGTCAGCCTGAAAATGTGTTTAGACACACTTCTGACGTAAAGACGTGTTCATGGGCATTTGTAGAATATATCGTATGAAAAATGGACAATTAAGATGAGATTTGGCTGCAGATGAAGACACATGAATGTCTACACCTGTTTGACTAAGACACTTACTTGTCTATGTATGTACTAGGTGGTTATGGTCCAATTATGGTCAATGGAGAGACCTTGTCAATGCTTGCAGTGAAGCCTGGAGATTAATTTGGCCCAAGTAGACACCAGGTGGCTGGTCAGCTCAATAGCTGTAGGCTCTTAACCACGCTGTCTAAATCATCTTTGAGTATGAGGGAGTTTGGACACCCAAATAGTGTCTTAATCTGGAGCTGAATCCTTCCCTCAAGGTACAAGTCATTTGGTTGTACAAAGATCCCTTTTAAACTGTTTAAACAGATTACATAAGGTTTTTGTTAATACAGCATACACTCTATGGCATTTAATATGTACTTAACTGCTCTTCTTGTAATCCAGCCTTTTTTAGATCTATCTTTCGGGTTCTGCCACTGCTCCTTGTTCTGTCTCCAGTGAATTCATCTAGTTGTGCAATGGGAAATAAAACAACTGAAATCCGTGTGAAGTATGAGAATATACTAAGCCACGACATCGATGAGCTGGTAGGTAATAGCTCTTGGGCTTTCAAAAAACGTTGATTATTTTTATATGATAGGAAATAATAATAACAAAACTCTAAGGTTGACATACGATAAAAGACCGGTTTAAAATCACACATTATCCTGGAATGGTGGCTTTATTTGAGGGTGTGCAACAATTCAGTCCCTTTAAAATCTCGGAAATCTGTGGATGCTGCCTATTTGCATGTACAAATACTGTGATACAGGTATTTGTGCCTGTGCACTGTGTAGTTACACACATGTACTCTTTGGCCCTAAATAGTATAATATATTACATTAAAGAGTACTCTCTCCTGAAGTAATTTCATGACTACTTCTGTTCATGTCTTCTTATCAAGAGAAGAAGGCATTACACAACCTGTAATTTGTTTTACTAATTGTAGGCTTCTTGACTGAAGTTTTATGGTGTCCATTGAATACAAATGTACACAGGCACAAAATTCATACAAAAGAAGTTTCTTTGTACTTTACCTATTAATATATATTGTTTAGCCAACAAAGAATCAACTTTTCTAGATAGCAGCAGAGAAAAACTTAACTTTGTCGTTGTAAATCTCCTCCATTATGGCTTTATCAGTCAGATTTATTACAACTTTGCAAAACAGTATCGTAACAGTTTACCGATCCATGCCCAAAACCTACCTTCCAACTCTTCATCAAGAATTATTAACAGTTAAACTCGTCTGTCAAGAACACTTTCATGGGAGAAAGCACTTTCCATAGTTCGATTAGCAGAGACATTTCTACCAAAATTGGATTTTTATCACAGTTTGTCACTAAGCGAGAACTTACCATTCTGTTGCAGTCTTAAATCAAGATCTATTTGCATGAAATACAAGTGATACACAGTGCTTTTCCAAAGGTGAAATCAGGAGCCATTGTATTTCTTCACACTTACGATCCACCACCATCCTTCAGAGCATTATGCCAGTGGTTTCCAACCTTTCTCTACCAAGACGCATCAGCCCTTATCTGGAAACAAAATACCTGTAGGGTCAGGGAACGATCATTTAATCTTCAAAAACATTCTGATCATGTTGTGTTTGTTGAGATTATGAAGAGAGAAAGGTCCTTCTCCGTAGGTAAATGACCTTATCCTGAACAAGGCACCAAAGCTGGGGAGAACATTCATGGCCATACTAGAACAGATAAGTAGCCCCTTTAGTTTTTGACCTTATTTCTGAGAAAGACAAGTGTTTCCTAGAGAAAAAAAATAAACCCTCTTGGTGAGCAGTTACAAGATAGCTGACCTGTAAGAGAAAACAATATGACAAGAATAACAGCCTCTGGGAGGCAGATCCTGCTGTCTTCCAGTGGTGGAGAGCCATGAGGCGCATCCCAGCTTTGCTGGAGCTGCAGGGTCAGGGAAGCTGGGAGGGCATCCTGGGCCAGAGGTGACAATGCCTTGGCATTGCCCAATTGCAGGACGAAGCTTGATGCACTCCGTGCCCCAGGGTGCCATCGAGGATTTGAATGGAGCAATGCCATTCTTCCAGATACATTTTGAAAGTCTTTATCTTTTTTTATTGGAATAAATATTCTAGAGTTTTTTAGGAAATAGGTCTGTTATCAAAATAAATAAATAAATAAATAAATAAATACCTTAACAAATTAATGTTTGTGAAAGGTAATGGGAATGTACTGAACTCTGAAGCTTTTACTTGCTAGAATGGGCATGCAGTAGGCGTACAAGCAACTACTGTGCAAGTTTCTTTATTTTTCCCAGTTTAAGAGAGATTCATTTGTCTTCTACATAAAATCAGTGTATAGTCTTGTCACTATAACTTAACAGCAAATATTATGGACAGTGCTGTTCGGGTGATAGCAACTCTCCACTAGGCACTTTCCTGCAATTGCAGAGCCAAAGTCAATCAATCAGTTTCATCCCTCAGGCTGATATTTGGAGGCAGTTATGGAGATGACTAGTGGGTTATATACTAGACTTCCATAAGTTAATTTGATTTTCACTAATGCCTTTTCTGAGGCCAGGATTTCCCCTAGGTTGCTTTAGTCACAGCCAATAAACTGCCTTCAGAAATGGTTACTGTACGTTATACTAAAGACGATCTGATGAGGTCGGTGAGAATGGGTAAATCCCTTAGCAGTTAGCAAATGAAGCCACAGATATAGAGGTTTAGGGTGATTATTTATTTATTGATTGATTTTTAAATCTTGGTGCTGTGTGACTGCAGCAAAACTTCATTCTGTTGTGGTACAAACAGAGATGTGCATTATCTTCCAAATGTTTTGGGGTTTTTTGTCAGTGAATATTTGACCCCCTAAACTCTTGGTTTTGAAAACACTTCTTGGGTGAAGTTCTATTCATCTTGGGTGAACTTCTGAAATACAGGCAATGTTACACAAAAATCTGCAGAAAAACTTTAAGAATTAAGTTGTCTAATTTGTTCATGTGCATGCCTAAGTGAGGAGATCTAACACACTATTGTCATGAGCTGCCTTTTTTAAAACCCTTCTGGTTGTATTAGGTTATCTGGATTCAGGCTGAAGAAGAAAGTGAAGGAATTTTGTTGAGTTGGGTTCATTTGTCATCTTGATGACAAGCGTGAAAGTAGAAGGAAAAAAAAACAGAGAATAAACCATTGATAAAAGATTGTGGACATGCAAAGGGAGTGAGTGATATTGCTCAGGACATCTTCTGTTAGTGCATATGCAAAGTGAGTGCTACAATCTGTTTAGATGCCTGGGGCATGTATTTATTGAGGCAAACATTGACAAACATTGTATTTGATGTCTGTGTAAGATTTAAATATTCCTGCATGTTTTAAAATGCCAAAGAACCAAGTAATTCGATAGAATATGAAGGTTTAAAATGAATAGATTTGTGTCCAGTTGTGGGCTCGCCAGTACGAGAGAAATACAGAGCTACTGGAGAGAGTCCGGCAAAGGGCCATGAAGATGATTAAGGTACTGGAACACCTCTCTTATGAGGAAAGGCTGAGAGAGCTGGGACTGTTCAGCCTGGAGAAGAGAAGGCTCAGGGGGGGATCTCATCAATGTGTGTAAATACCTGAAGGGAGAGTGCAAAGAGGACAGAGCCAGGCTCTCCTCAGTGGTGCCCAGTGACAGGACCAGAGGCAATGGGCACAAACCGAAACACAGGAGCTTCCCTCTGAACATCAGGAAACACTTTTTCACTGTGAAGGTGACTGAGCTCTGACACAGGTTGCCCCGAGAGGTTGTGGAGTCTCCTCCATCCTTGGAGATACTCAGAAGCCATCTGGACATGGTCCTGGGCAGCTGGCTCTAGGTGGCCCTGCTTGAGCCAGGGGATTGGACCAGATGATCTCCAGAGGTCCCTTCCAACCTCAACCGTTCTGTAATTCTGTGTGTTTCTGTGAATACCTTTAGAAATTGTAGCTGGATTGGGATTTTCTTTGCCTGCTTGCCAAGGAAAAGCTCAGAATTGTACACTGACCCTGCTACACCTGAGGAGATGCTACAGAACAATTTAGTGTTGACATCACCAGCTGTTAGTGAGAAACTTGGCTCACTGGATTAAAAGTACTTCCATGTTTAAACATATATGATATTTTACAGGTAAATATGTCTGCAGAGTATCGTGACAGGTGCTGCAAGAATAAAAAACCTGAAAATAGCAAAGTGTTTTTCTGCAATGATACTCAGGTAAAATCTAACTTCTCAGGATTTACTTTAGAGAATACAAACTCAAATGGGTTCTTTGTACAGTCCAGTCCCTGAATAACATATTGTGATAGAGAGTAATATTACCTTTTAATAGTCAAATCATGATATTCAATTGTTTTGTTTAATTTGGGATCACACAATTTGTCAAGTAAATTGATATTTTCAAAATTAGAATATTAAGCAATTCCATATCCAAGAAATTCTTTTTTTCCCTACTATAAAGATTCTTTTATATTTTTAATTCAAAGTAGTACAGAAAACTTATTTTCTTTTGCCAGTGGAAGTAAACGTAAAAATTTCCCAACATCTGTTTTCATTTTTCTAAAGAAAATCATATTAGCTAAGCTTATCACTTCAGATCTGAAAGCTTTAAAAGCAATAGTTTGGGCAGACCTCAAATGACAGAAAGCACAATTGTCAGCTGTTGCTGTAAATTTTATCGTGACTTGATAAAAGGACTGACTCCAAACATCATTCACTGTTTTCCTAACTGCAGCAGCTGATTTCATTACGGCTATGATTTCTCCCTAACATCCTTACTCTATTATTATTACCTCTACAAAATGATACTTTAAATATTTTGAAGAGATGGCAGGTAGGTTAGATTAGTCGTGTGTTTTATTGGAAAAGATTGGCACTATGAAAGCAAAAGAAACTAATGGTAATTGATGGAGGTTTTTTTTAAAGACAAACCAACACTATAAAGAAGAATTAATCGTGCACAGACTTTTCAGGACGTTTTTCTTGCTCTCTTTACAGGAAATAGAATCACTACAGAGTATGGCATGCAACATGCTCAGATTCTTTCATAAGCAAAAAATCAACAAAGAATTCAGATGGAAAGCAGCGTTAGTCTCATGTGGGACATTACAGGTTCTACAGTGCAAATGTGAAAGACATAAAAAAGAAAAGGTGAGTGGTAGTGATGGTCTACAGTTTATTGGAAGTATATCACTTATTCTTTAGAGCTCTTCAACACAGACTATCATATCTACCTCTCAAAGGTACAACTGTCATGCACGCTAGGCCACAGCACCAACCCCTGGGAACAGCTCTGTCTTATTCCACCAGTCTCAAGGTACCACACATGTAGTCATATCTTTTGAAGTTTGGCTCACAATTTAATTGGCTTTATTTTTCCAGTCCTTCAAATAATGGAGGATAAATTTTAAACCGCTGACAGAGGATGTACATGTTCTCAGTTGCACACACTGGTTTCAGCTGTCTATATTTGCTGTGTGTTAAAGCCGCATTCTCCCAGTCCAGTGGGCAGGGGCGGCAGTAGGGCTGTGCTCAGAGTGAGAACATCAGAGCGATGCAGGCTGCCTACCGCCACGGCACGTTTCGTGGGTAGCCCAGCTTTCTGGCTTAGTTACCGTGTAAGGTACCACCATTATTTATTGAGATGTAGTGGAATAATTTTTTTTTTTAAAGATGTCTATATGAAAAGAATAAGCACTTCACAATTACCAATACAAACTATTCTTTTCCAGGTTTGCACACAGGTAAATACACATAATAAAGAAGATACAGAAACAGGTGAACAGTCCAAAAAGAAATGTAACCAAGAATTTTGTGAACTGAAAGAAAATATATCTAGCCTTCGATCCTGCTGGAATAAATTTGAAAAAATAATTTCCAGGTGATTGCAGGTGAATCCTGCTCTTTTCATTCAAACTGGCATTACTTGGTATCTTTGCATTTTATATGCATTCTTCAAGTAACTCTGCTCATTTATATGAACACTTTATGCCAGAATTCTGATGGAAAGCTACTGTACCTTGTTCCTGGAGATGGAATAAACAGAAATGGCTAAACCAAGCTGCTGAAGTCCAAGAAGTGGAAATAAAAGACCAGCGTTTGAAGCAAAGAACGCTGCAGAAGGCTGTGTCCCACCTTCGTGCTCTGGAAACTACTTTGAGTTTTCTGATCTTTCAAGTAACTTCGTAATACCGTCATATGAAAGCAATCTACTTACATGTCTACTGCAATTTATAAAAACATCTTACAAGCTGCAGGTGAAGAAAACATTATGGAAAAGTAGCTGGTTTCTTTATATAAAACACATCAAGGACCAAAAGGAACAATTTAGCAAACAAGCAGCTGATCTTGGGTCTGTTCTGCTGATGCAATAATGTTTTCAGCGTGGGTATCTAATGGCTCTGCAAACTGATTTAGGTTTGGAAAAATAGGGAAAAAGTTAACTTTTTTTGAAAAACTTAGGAAGGGTACTGATTTTTGAGAGATGTAGCACACTTCTACTGGCTGAAGTAGAGGCAAGACAGCGAGACCTATGGAAGGCAAAAAAGGAGATGCCTGAATATAAGTTTGTTCAGGTGAATGGAAACAGCACTAGCCTTATGTACTTGGTTATCCTAGAGTTAGCTGCAGGAGGAGCTAGAATTTCTTACCTTCAGATTGTGATTTCTTATATGCAGTTATTTTATAGAACGTGTTTAACATGTTAGACAAACATGACTTAAAATGTGTGAATATTTTCAGAGAATAATATATTGGCATTTAACTAATAAAGTGTTCATATTTAATTTTGGATAAATAGAAGTATTTTTATAGTTGTTTATAACTCTTTTGCAGTTTCTTACTTTGATATTATAACTCTTTTGGTAATAAAATATTTGTCTTCTATGGAATTGGGCTGTTGACTTTTTGGATGTCATGACTCCTTTTTTAGCTTTTTTTCACAGCTAGTCATTAAAAGCAGAGCTGGTAATATAACCTCCAGCTGCTTGGGACTTCCCATTATAAAATACCTACTTTTTAGTTCCTTGTAACCTGGCAAGTTTAGGTAAACATTTCCATACTAGGTATCTGCCTTGGACTAAATACTTTGGGAAATCTTTAGTTAAGTCAGCCTGTTGTTTCCTGGTTCCGAGTAAGGTGACATGTTTTTTTATCTGTGCGAAAAGAAATTTTCCATGGAACTACTCTGAAAAGCTTTTGGTATTCAGAACAAAGACCTGAAAAAATGGTGGGATGTGCTTCAAAGAACTGTATAAATCTCCTTTGACTGGAATAAGATCTGCTGTACTGAATCCATGAAACCCAGTGTGCCCTTCTGCTAATGGTGAGGGAAGAGGTTAAGAGCAAAGCAAACGTACTGTTATGCTTTCCTGGAATACACCACCTCCAACCCCCCATCTATTTATGGTGAAGAGACTTCTTGAGGGAGGAGTAGTATCTTTGCAAAACCGTGATTGAGACTTTTACATATTCTCTTTAGCTCTTGATGGAAGAGATTGCAATTTTAACTCCAAACACTGAAAAAACCCCCACCAAACCCAACCCATAACTCTTTTATGTAATAGGAAAAGGAAGCAGATTTCCCAACATCATACTGCAGAGAAGAGAACATAACCACTATTGTAAGGACTTCTCTGGAAATGCCTTCTACTGAAAGAAGTCCCAGGAGACTGAGGATTAAATTTGTCTCTGAGACTGAAAAATGGTTCCTTTTTTTTTGGAAATTCAGGAACAGCTGAAAGCCAAGATTTATTTCCTAATAACCACTTGGCAAGGAAAGGTCAGTGGGAATTAAAAGAAAAACACACAGACGCAGTATTAGCTACTACAACACTGGAAGTTCAGTCAGCTTAAATGACTTAAGCAGCAGCCCACAACTTAAATCTTGAGTTAAATGAAGCAGTTTCAGACCTATTCTGGGGAAAAGACCAAGGTTAGATCCAGAGAAGAAATATAAATTAAGTGATTATGAAATTGTGTTTTTTTTCTGTTTGCTTCTCTTAATAAATATCCTGCCTGCCTGATTCTTGTTGCCAAATTTCCTGAGTCACCACTTACATGCAAAGACTAACTGCTAAATGCAGTGACTTGTACTCTTTGATTTGTTCCTTCCATTTGAGAACCTTCTCCAGTCTCTCCTGAAATTACAAATGTGACAACAAAAAACTGCTTTGCAGGAATGGGTGAAGGGATGAAAACCTTGCAGGATATTCAACAAGGCTCAGTGCTGAGTCCTGCACTTCAGTCACAACAACCCCATGCAATGCTACAGGCTAGGGGAGGAGTGGCTGGAGAGCTGCCTGGCGGAAAAGGACCAGGGAGTGTTGGTTGACAGCCGCCTGAACATGAGCCAGCAGTGTGCCCAGGTGGCCACGAAGAAGAAGACTGGCCTGGCTGAACAGAGAGCTTTGGCTGGAACCCAAGGAAAAAAGGAGAGCTTACTGCCTTTGGAAGAAGGGGCAGGTGACTCAGGAGGACCACAGGGATGTAGATTAGAAAGGCAAAGACCCAGCTAGAACTTAAACTGGCCACTGCCGTTAAAGATAACAAAAAATGTTTTTACAAATATATCAGCGACAAAAGGAGGGCCAGGGAGAATCTCCCTCCTTTGTTGGATGCGGAGGGAAACTTTGCCACGAAGGATCAGGAGAAGGCTGAGGTACTTAAAGCCTTCTTTGCCTCAGTCTTTAAAGTCAGACTGGTCATCCTCAGGGCTTTCAGACCCCTGAGCTGGGAGGTGGAGATAGGATGCAGAATGAAGCCCCAGTTGTTGAAGAGATGGAAGTCACCGACCTGCTCCTCCACCTGGGATCCACTTGAGGGTACTGAGGGAGCTGGCAGAGGAGCTTGCCAAGCCACTCTCCATTATTTATCAGCAGTCCTGGTCAACCGGGGAGGTCCCAGATGACTGGAAGTTAGCAAATGTGTCGCCCCGCTACAAGAAGGGTCAGAAGGAGGATCCGAGGAACTACAGGCCTGTCAGCTTGACCTCGGTACTGGGAAAGGTCATGGAGCAGATCCTCTTGAGGGCCATTACATGGCACGTGTGGGACAACCAGGGGATCAGGCTCAGCCAGCCTGGGTTTATGAAAGGGAGGTCCGGCCTCACTAACCTGGTCTCCTTCTATGACAAGGTGACTCGCTTAGTGGATGAGGGAAAGGCTGTGGATGTTGTCTACTTGGACTTTAGTAAGGCCTTTGACACTGTCTCCCACAGCATTCTCCTGGAGAAGCTGGCTGCTCACCGCTTGGATGGGTGCACTCTGCGCTGGGTTAAAAACTGGCTGGATGGCCGA